CTCATCTCATGATACCACAGTCAGTTTTGTTATGATCACTGCGCTGCAAACACGAGGACTGTTGAGGGTTATTATTGGGATAATGGAGACATCACATAAATTAAGTGGTAAAAAAAGGCAAAGGGTTATAGCACCTCTTTGTCTGTAGTGATCTCAGGATTTTGCATTTTTTGTGTGTCTGTGTCAGGGTGAAAAATGCCGTTCTGATCCATCTGTAATTCACCAAATGTCCCCTGCTTTTTTTCCTCTCCGTTCATTTTGTGTCTTCAGAGGAAGTCCAACAGAGCAAAGGAGAAGAAAGCGAGACGTCTGGAGGAGAGGGCAGCTATGGATGCTGTATGCGCCAAAGTAGACGCAGCCAATAAGGTACCTCAGTTGTGGATATGAGTGAAAAGGAGAAATCTTCTGCTGTGGCTTTGCACTGAAGTTAAAAATGCGCGGTTTGATTTTTGTCTCTCTCTACACATTATGTTTAGGTTCTATATTTATTGTTTGCCTAAAAAAAAAAAAATTTTTTTCGTTTAATTTTGAATTTTCGTTCTCAATTCAGTTTAAATTCACTTACTTTCCAGGGTGGGTTTGCTCATTTCAATTCACCTTTTTATTGTTTGAACATGTTAAGTGTTTGGCTTAAAAAAAAAGATTATAGACGGTCGAGGTTTAGGAAGTTCAGATTAAATATTACACAAACACAACACTTAAAGTCATGTATACATCCAAGTCTAAATAAACATGCAGCAGAGGCTCCTGATGACCATATTAATAAATATTACAGCTAAGAGTTAAAAAAAAACAACAACTTATTATTGAATTGAATGATTATTGAAGCTTTGTAAACAAACAATGTAGTTTAAATTCGTTTTTCATTTTATATTTTTATTTAAGTTAACATTTTTAGGGTCTTGTTTTACAAACGCTGTAAAAAAAAATGAGGTAATTGAGAAAAACTTTCATTTCTAGCTTCAGTAGAATGAAATAAGAGCTGTAGTATGAACTGGCTAATATCCCAAACCTACACCTCCACCTAT